ATGAACGGTTGTTTCTTCACACCTACCTTGTGCGCTCAGTACCGTAAATCATCGTAAATTTTGCATTCACAATCTCCGTTTAGCGGTCTTTTTTTTTGAAAATGACCCAGCTATTCAACAAGTAATTTACCCGCCAGAAATATAAGTGCCCGTACACGAGAACCACACGTACATGGAGGCTGAATTTGAAATCTTTAAGTTGTATTTGGACGGGGAATATTCTTCTGAAATCTCAGCTTTCCAGCTCTTCTGGTTCCCGATTTAGCAATTTTTCCGCCAAAACTTTCGCAGCGCCGCACGTGAGTTGGGAGCATACCTGGGGGCTGGGTTTGGAATTTTTAAGTTGTATATAGGCTCGGAACATCCCTTTAAAATTTCAGCCTCTCAGATTTCCTGGTTCCCAAGTTAGCGATTTTCGCGTCAGGAATCCTCACGGGGCTGTACACGGGAACCGTGCAAGCCCGTAGGCTGAATTTGAAATCTTTGAGCTCTATGTGAACGGGGAACATAACCTCAAAATTTTAGCTTTCTAACTTTCCCCGTTCCCGAGTTAGCAATTTTCCCACCAAAAATCTCACCCTCTCGTACGCGGGGCCCAGACTTGCGTAAGGGTTGGTACTGCGATTCTGGGGTGGCACACGGCCGGAGAACTCACTGGCAAAATTTTGGCGCTGGAGTTTGCTTGGTTGCTAAGTTGAAATACCTGGACAGACGAACACACACACACACAGGGTCGTTGCAACATGCGTTTTTGCAGTTTGCATATAAGCAAAAACGCATAAAAAGTTATGGCAATGCCATATTACTATCAAACTGATTCGGATGCGGTAAATCGACACGGTCGGGGACACTTGCTTATTCTGTTAGTCGAAAGAATCAATCTGACAAGATTCTGATATAAATTTGAAGGACTGCTGAAGTTTCGAATAACAAAAAATAAATAATCTGGGAGAGTTTAGAGTGCTAGCATGCTAAAAAGTGGGCATTTGCAGCGGGCTTGGTTACATCGTGTCGTCCAGCGTTTCTTCGCTGATGGGTGGATGGCAGTGGGGCATGCGTGTTACGCCATTCCTGGGCGCGCTATCTGTGATGCTGATTGCACTTGTAATGTACGAGCCGAAACGTGGCGAAGCGGAAAAAGCTGACGGCGCTACTGCTGTTGTGGATACTCTGGAAACTACATACTGGGAAGATATCAAAGCCATCTGTAAAATGTCTCTTTGTTTTCAATCTTTTTCTGAAACAAACTGACCGCACATTCTGCTTCATAGGCATGGAAACACATCTAAGTAACACTGCTATACGGTTGATGCAAGAATGGCATAAAACAATTGGCCAACGCACGGTCTGCCCGTGCGAAGATGCGATTTTTGCATAGCCCCCGCAGATTTTTGTCGCTAACGGCACTGGTTTTTCTGGCAGATGCTTCTAGCTAAAAGAATTT